AGCGAGAGAATATCTTGTGGGGAAAAACATTAAGGTTACGTGTTTGGCTTTCGGCTAACTAGTTTGAGATGGGGGCAGCACAGCTGTGTGAGACTGAGGTGCCTGTGGATGACTGGACTTCAAAAGCTATATTAAGGAATGGCCTAAGAGATGACAGGTGACTCTCTCAAAATGGATGGCCTCACTCTGGGGAATGAGCTTCAAATGTATGTGAATCCTTTAGATAAATGGAGGGAGACGTATAGGAAGATAGAGAACTAGCAAGGAAGGAAAAATTGGATTCGGTAAGTATAGGGATGAAATAAGGAGAAATATTTGAAAAGGAACAAGTGAGCCTTAGAAATCACAGGTATGGCAAAAAAAAAAAAAAAAAGGCATGTATTGCCATGTATTTTCTTTAAGAAAGGTATAGAAATCAAAGACAAGAGGGGAATTTATAAACAAAAAAGGCAAAGAGGAGTAGAGCACAAATTTGAAGTGTGAGAGAGATTGGACTATAGCTATGAGAGGCAGCCTAGACAAATCAAGACTACATTTTGTTGTATCATTTCTGTTTTTTTTCCAGAGGCAGGGTCCCACTCTGCTGCCCAAGCTGGAGTACAGTGGTATGATAATAGCTCGCTGCTACATCCTTTTATTTTTATCTTGACATAAATAAACAGAAAATTCAAAAATAATATAAATGGGATGATGGGAATTATGAAATAAGTTTATTATCTACATTATTATTATTTTAGAGGAGTCTCACTCTGTCATCCAGGCTGGAGTGCAATGGCACAATCTTGTCTCACTGCAACCTCTGCCTCCCTGAGGGTTCAAGTGATTCTCCTGTCTCAGCCTCCTGAGTAGCTGGGACTACAGGTGTGCTAATTTTTGCATTTTTAGTAGAGATGGGGTTTCACCATGTTGGCCAGGCTATCCTCGAACTCCTGACCTCAGGTGATCCACCTGCCTCCTCCAAACAAAGAGCTAGGATTACAGGAGTGAGCCAGTGTGCCTGGCCAATAGCTACATTAATTAACACCATTCTGAAACATAATAATAATGAAATATTATGAAATGGTATGAGATACAAATGATATGCCATAAGACTTAGACTTGCTTTATCTTCAATTGCTCAAAAGTATCTAAAGAGCTTAGTTTTCTAATAATTAAATCAGATCTTAGAAAGCCTTTGCCTAAGTTATATACAGAAAATGAAATGGGGGGAAAAAAGGGAGAGCTCTACCTTTTCTCACATTCCCTATTTATACAACTTTGAAGTCTTCTATAAACTCAGGTGCTTTTTCACAAAAACAGAAATAAATCAAAATTTGATCTGAAGACCTAGCATTGTTGAATGAGAAGGATTTTGTCCCATCAGCATTTCTACCCACATGATGTCCTCTGGAGAATGAGAAGGAGGAAGGGGGAGGGCAAAACTTGTAAGGCTCTACTATGGCACCAGCTTCCATAAGCTAGAGGACCACAGCATAGAAGATACCAAGTGCTTCTGTATATTACTTTTACATGCAGAGAAACAGAGTTTTATTTCTCAAGAAATAAAAAGAAAATCCTCCTCTTCATTCAATTGACTTCAATCATGGTACTTTTTTTGAACATATGAATGTTAGCGACTTGGAATGCCAACCTCCACTCCCATCCTCATTACTATTTTGTCTCTTCAGGTTCAAGATGGTGAGCTCTTCCTTTAATAATAAATATAAAATGACACAATGAGGGTTTCTGCAGAGCAAACACACATAATCGTTTTTAACTAACTAACCAGCCTTTTGCTACTTGGTTGGATACTATGGATGTCACCTTATATGATGATAGTGTTTCTGTACAACTTTAATTAATTAATGCAAAAAAATTTATTAAGCAGCTAATCTACACCAAGAATGATTTCTGGAGGTGGAGATACATTAGTAAACAAATCACTGATAACTGTCCTCCTGAAGTGTGTATTCCAGTGGTAGGGCCAGGGTTGGGAGTAGTGTGAAGAACTTGCAAGAGATATAATAACACAGTTACATAGCAGGATAGAAAGTTATAAGTGCTACAGAGAAGAAAACAGATCAGGGTGAGAGAAGTATGGAGAAGGGGGTTTGGACTGCAATTTTAAACAGGGAGTTAGAGTAGTGCTCATGTATCTGTAGAGAGTGATAATTGAGCAAGGATTCAAAGTAGGCAAGCTTGAACATCACCATCTTTCTATACTGAATAACTATCATTCTGACAATGGTTAAAGGAGTTCAAAATGGTTTTCCTTCTTTCTTTTCTTTTCTTTTGGTTTGTTTATTTTCACTTGGGAGACATGATTAATTTTCTATTCTTGATGAACTTATTTTAAAGTAATTGGCAGTTTTATAAGAAAGTATGAACTACTGAACCTAGTATCTGTATATAATTAAACCAAGTCTAGAATTGACCCATTATACAGGTTATGTGATTGAAAGTCCAATACATAAATACGTTGCAAATATTCAACTGAGCATAACTGAATATAGCTGAGTGATATAATTTAAAGACCCATGACAGCAAAAACCAGTGTACTTTTGTCCATGCTGTATCTACTGGACCTACAACACTCCTTGGCTCATGATATGTACTCAACAAACACTAGTTTGTAGGGTTAGTGGGGCTGAGTATAAGTAATGGAGACTTTTGAGATTTCAGGCTATCAGTGATGTTTGACTTTTTCATGTGCTCCAGGAGCAGAACTGGACTTTCAACCTAACCAAACTCTTTAGAAAACCTTATTATAATGAAGCTTTTCCAAATGTATATTTACTGCATCTGAGCTGTTGTCTGCATTTAATATTTTAGAACCACGGTCCCCAACCTTTTTGGCAACAGGAATGGGTTTAGTGGAAGACAATTTTTCCAAGAGAGCATGGGGGTGGGCATTAAATTCTCATAAGGAGTACGCAACCAGATCTCTGTCTTGCACAGTTCACAATAAAGTTCACACTCCTATGAGAATCTAAAGCCACTGCTGATCTGACAGGAGGCAGAACTCAGGCAGTCATGCTGTCTTGCCCACTGCACACCTCCTGTTGTGCAGCCTAGTTCCTAACAGGCCACATACAGGTACAGGTCCATGGCCCAGGGACTGGGGCCCTCTTAAAAGAGGAATTGGAACGTAGTTTATACTCAGCTATATTTTCTTTTCCTTTTTTTTCTTTTTCAAAACAGAGTCTCATTCTGTTACCCAGCCTAGAGTGCAATGGCACAATCATGGCTCACTGCAATTCCCACCTTGCACATTCACCTGCCTCAGCTTCCCAAGTAGCTGGGATTACAGGTTCCTGGCACCACACCTGGCTAATTTTTGTATTTTTAGTAGAGATGGAGTTTTACCATGTTGGTCAGGCTGGTCTCAAACTGTTGACCTCAGGTGATCTGCCCACCTCAGCCTCCCAAACTACTGAGGTTACAGGCATGAGCCACCATGCCCGGCTGTATTTTATTTCTCTACCTCTCGAATCAGTAGCTGATACTGTGTTGACAGATCTGGGGAAAGCCAATTAAAATGCCTAGACACAGAAACTTAGAACTCCAACATTTAGTCAGTTTTCTGCAATTGCAGTAAAATATAGAAAGATATAACCATGTTAACCATGTAGATCTCTTCTCCTGTCTTGTAAAGAAGAATAAACATCTCCTATACACATGCTAACTCTGGAGATTTCTTCCCTGCAAAAGTATCTTCCTTCAGGAAACCACAGTGAGGTGGAGATTGGAAGTGCAAGGGTCAGGTTAGGGAAGATGTCATTTACTAGAGTTTCAGATGTCATCTGCAGCTCAATATTGCCGGTTGTTGTAACTCATTAGCAGACACTAAGCCATTAATCTATTAATTGGTATGTTCACATCTATGTTTCTTTTCTTCCCCATGTAAGCACACAACATAGCAAGTCCTCTGTATTACACTAGTTGTCTAAAGGCACAGAAACATCATCTTTAGAAATTCTAAGTCCCAGAAAAGTCCATGTTATTTTTCTATGTACAGCAGCTGTATACATGAGCTCCTTTAGGGCAGAAATCATATCTTTTCAACTTTTTATCTTATGAAACTCAATAAATGGCAGTTAAATGAAACTACAGATGAAGAAATGCAATGTTTTGTTTTGCTAAAGAAAACTGTCCATTAAAATTGGGAATTAGAAATTATGACGTGCTTGCATGAGAGTAAAAAATCATGGCAGTTGCTTGTAACTCATTAGCAAACACTAAGCCATTAATCCATTAATTGGTATGTTCACATCTATGATTCTTTTCTTCCCCATGTAAGCCAAGAACATAGTGAGTCCATATCAAATGCCATTGATAAATAGGCATTAATCAATAATCACAATTGAGTACACTAGATAGCCATGATGACTGCATTTAGCAAACAACTGCTCTATTTCCCTTTGGTCTGCAAAAATATTTTTAATGGTTACAAAAATTATGTCTTTATCACATAATACATTTTATTATCAAATTCTGGTTTGAAAAAGGGACTGTTATTAATGAGAGAAGTTAAATGACATGCTTGATGTCAAATGAAAGGCTTACAGTGAGAGACAAAGAGGACATTAATAAAATCAAGATGATTTGCTTCTCAGACATATCTTACTCCCGTAACTGATATGCTGACAGTTACAAACCCAATTCATATAATTATCACAGCATAAAGAAGACATGTTTATAAAGGCAAGGTCATTTGTAATGTAAAATAAAGTGGTCTCAGCATGTCCACTATGAGCAAATGCTGAAACATTACCCATTTAATGAATATTAATTATATATTAAAACCTAGAATTAAATACATAAAAAAGAACAACTGCTGTCTAGACTCAGGAGAGATACTATTCAGGCAGTAGTTCTGATACTTGATCTGCCATTTCAATTATTTTAAAGTGTTCCAAATATTTATGCCACAGGTTTTGAGAAAAATTTTCTTTGTTTTGCAGAAGTAAAGGATGAGGGATTTTTATGCCCTCCCCCCAAAATGAGAACCAAAGAAGTACCTGTAGAATTGCCACCTCATTACGAAGCTGGCTCTCTTGTTTTGTTGGAAATCTTAATTTGTCAATGATTTTAATAGCTACATCTCTTCCTGTTTTACGATGTTTTCCTTTAAAATGAAAAAGGGAAACATAAGTATGTTATTAAATATCATCTATATTAAAGAACACTAAAATTTGCAAGGACATTTAAAGAAATGATAAACATATTTCACTGAATAAATTAACATTTCTAAAGAGCACTGACATATATATATATATATATATATATATAAAGATTTCATTATTCTAAATCAAATATATGCTTTAAAATTAAACATAATTTAGAACGTGAAAGAATTGGGGCACTGAAACCTATATGTATCAACAGTCTGGTATTTTTTCCATAAAAATATATGCTTTAGAAACAGAATATTGAGCTATTTAATATAGAAAATATTGTATCACTAGAAAATTAACTTTCCTTTAGAAAGTATATATATATATATTTTTTTTTACAACAGGGTCTCATTGTGTCTCCCAGGCTGGAGTGCAGTGGTGTGATCTCAGCTCACTGTAATTTCTGCCTTCCAGGTTTAAGTGGTTCTCCTGCCTCAGCCTCCCGACTAGCTAGGATTACAAGTACTTCCCATCACGCTCGGCTAAATTTTGTACTTTTGTAGAGATGGGGTTTCACCATGTTGGCCAGGCTGGTCTTGAACTTCTGACTTCAGGTGATTCACCTGCCTTGGCCTCCCAAGTGCTAGGATTACAGGCGTGAGCCACCCACCTGGCCTAGAAAGTATAATTTTAAAGTCCTTATAAGATAGTGCAAGTTATAGGGCAAAGAATTAAAGTCCTGGCTGTGTCACTTATTAGCTGTGTTTTCTTGAGCCAATCACTCACTCTTTCTGAATTCTAGGTTCCTCATCTACAATGAGAAGATTGGATGAAAGAAGGCATGTAAAGTATACAAAGTAGCCTGGTAACTATGCACACTCAAAAACTGTTAGGCATTATCATCATCATCATCATCATCATCACCATATAACAAGCCCTTTATGTACATGACAACTCATTTATCTACTACAACAAACTTTTCCGCAATTCTATGGGGCACCCCCAAGTTATTAACTTCTACACTACTATATTGTGGTAGGTACAAAATATAGTAGTGTTAATTGAATCTGAAAATAAGAAATGAAAATGAATCAGAAAATAGAAATGGAAAATGGATCTAATTACTCAAACTTTTTGGCTACATACAAACTAACTTGAAATTCCAGTCTTCTACCACTTGTAAATCTAGTGTTCACCCACCCTATGTCCCACTCTCACTATTTCTTCTCTTTCCAGGCTGCTTCCCTTCACTTTCAAATCGCCTTGTGTTCAGAGTCTGTACTTCCTTAACATCATCTTTTACTCTCTGATTCACTGCAGTCAGTCTCTATTTCAACTCAGCCATTTTCCTGCAAGTACTCTTGTCAAGGCCATGACTTCTTCTCTACTGCTTTGTCACTGCAATACTTGGCCTCTCTTCTGAGACTCTTCTCATCCAGTTTACCCCATTTGTGTCTAGTCTTAATGTTTCAGTCTTACATGTGGAGGCCTCCTCCTATTCCTGGTCTTCAGTGTTGAATGTTCCAAATTATCTGGCATCTGCTGGTCTCTCTACTCTCATTTGTCACCCGTCTCACCCCTACATGATATGCAGTTATGTATATTTATGATGATCTATCTACCATAATTTTTTGCATGCAACTATTATACCACAGAGCAATAATCGAACATTTGTTCCCTTCTATTATACAGTTATGCATTAACAAACAGTACAATGGTTAGTGGGTCATGATAGGTTTCTCATCAAAAAAATCACTGGAGCATTTTATAAGGCTCAATGTTACTTTGTAAAACAGAGCAGAACTTAATTAGTTTTTAAATTAAAAATTACAATATCATATGGTGATAAATAAATTGAATGGGACACTGTCATTATTTCAGAGCACCCAACCTCACCATAAGAAATAATTTGTTACTGATAATATTAAGAACTGAAAGTTAAGAGGTCATTTTATGGGGTAGGTAAAGCATTAATATTAAATGTTTTTAAAGACTTGAAAAATGCCCTTTAACTGGCTGTAATCCAAAACAGCAGAATTTAGAATAATAAACTTACCAAAGAGCTTGATAATAAAAAATTAGGTAAAAACTTGATATTTTACCTCAGAAATTAAAAAAACAAATCGAACCTTAATGAAACAAACCTATTGTTAAAGACATTAGAAAGCTAAATTTAGTTTTATCTACTAACATGAATAAACTTCCATAAAGGTCTGATTAAGTCTGCCAAAAGAAAATGGAATTAATTTGTTTACAAATCACAACTTCCTTGTTTTCTCAACATTTTGTCTGATAAACCAAACTACTTCATACTATGTGTAGAGTTTACCTATGTTAAAGTGAAAGAAGATTTTCAGGAGTACAAAACTTCCTCTTTCAAGACAGAAATACACCAATTTTCCAGATAGTAACTATCTCAATTTTTTTAAAAGGCAGAACAAGAAAGATACTCACACAGACATATATCATATACACACATAGGTCTTCTCTTTTATGTTTTTCCTGGAAATATTGCTTTTCTAAATAAAACTAGTAAAAATTTTAAGTTCACAAAAATACTTAGGGAGATAACCTACCTCCATAAACAATTCCAAATTGTCCAGAACCCAGTACTTCATCAGGAAAAATCTGATATACCGTGCTGATGTCCTAGAGGTACAAGTTCAATGAGAAACAAACATGAAGCAGAACAAAACATTAGTCCTAAAAAATTATATAATTGTATTAATATATCATAAATATTAAGTATTTTAAAAATAAATTATAGATGCTAGATGAAATTTGAAATGACTGTAATATTCAAAGCATACTCTTTAATTTATGTAATAATGTAATGTTTTGAAAACTGTTCTGATCCTAAGTGGCAGAGGTTTCCTAACACTCTAGCACATATGTTTCATTAGAATGAAATATGACTAAAAACCATACAATGTGATTTACTGTAAGTATCAAAAAAGATATTTGCCTGTTGAGATGGCTATTGGGAAATTTCATTAAATAATCATGGTTCCTAATCACATGTCTGTGTGAATCCTGCTTCCAACCATTTCTCCCTGTATGGCTAGACTGGAAAGGTTGCTCCCTTATTAGTCACCCACATGCAGATGAAGTGTCGGAAGAGGAGGCTGAATCACCATGAGTGAGCTAGAGATGCTGCAGAAGGATGGCAACCCATATGAAATTCTCATGTGTGAAGTAGCTAAACTTGTCCAATTTTATCACTTCAGGAGGTAACAAATTCCAAAAGTCTAATTCTTTCTCTTTGAAATAATAACTGCTGAATAAAGCATCTTTTTAATCTATGCTTTACAGTCTGTGATTTCATCAGACAATTAAATCACAAGGTAATACTTTTTTCCTTTATATATTCCCATTACATCCCATCAGATTTTCCACCTGTCTTCTATTCATATACTTTGACTTTATTTTTTTAAGTCTTTTAACATCAAATCCTACCCTCTCCGTATCCTATAAACCCTTATCCTTTTCCTTTGTCCTGCCCCATAGAAAATAACTACAAGTTGTCTCCATCCTGTGATTCCTCCAAAGTACCCTCAGGATGAGTTTGTGGCTGTCTAGGGACAAAACAAGTAATATTAACACTATTCTATTATTCTGAGTTCAAGCTATTTCATCTGATAAGAGAAGTGTTCTTTAGGCTTTCTGATAACTCAATGGCTGGTCCAGAAATTTCAGTGGACAACAGTGGCTGAATAGGGTGGAATAACTCCACAGCTATCAGGCATTTCCCAAGAGGTGTATAGAGCAACTTGTATTTCCTAAAATGTCTCTGGCTAAGCAAGGGAAACAGGAACCTTCAGAAAAGAAACTTCTTTAGGAATCGATCTCATGATTAACCTTCACTATGACGTTTACCTAGTTCTCTCTAATTCATATTTGGCTATGTGTTTACTTTATACCACTTTACTGTAGGCTTCAAAGACATAGTAAGGATTAATAGAGTTTCATGAAGATAATATTTTTAAACAAATCTTTAGGAAGTGTAAGCTGTAAACTGCATTCTTTTGGCCATAGGTACAGCAGGCAAAATAGAGAAAATGCTCTGGGTCATAGGAGGAGGTAGGAAAGGACTTATTACTTTTTGGTTACTTACAGAGGAATAAAACATAACAAAGCAAACATAAGAAAGACTGTAAACTATTTCATAACATGTCTTATCTACAATTTTCAAAAACCGAGCTGCAATGACGGAGTTACGTGGCACAGGTGACTAGGGTGCTAAAATGAGAACCCACAAGATTTGATTTATGCAACTTTCTTAAAGTCTTGATGTGTACAAGTGACTATAAGAGCATTTTCAACTCCTTGTCATATTATAGCACTTCTAGGTATCAATAAGGAATGAGAACAATGGCATTTTTAAGCTACTCATGCAAATTGAGAAATGTATCTTATTTTGCTTGTGTATTTATTTACTGTGTAATATCAACCATTACAATTCCAGTACCAAGCAAATATGTGAGAATTTAGGCACCAAATTTTAGTTGCATAATTGAGATAAACAGATATTTGGTTCTATATTACAGAATCGATTATAGAAAAATTACTAAACAAATCTATATAATTTAACACTTCTAAAATCTTACAGAAAAAAACCTAAATTCTATATCGCTTTCCAAAAATTACCAAAACATTAACAACTTTTATATTAGTAGGTACATACTTACCACATTTTCTTGAATCTGGCAATTTGATACCGAAATACTCACAGCTATATCTCCTGCAAATGCATGTTAAACAACATGCACACAAAAAGTCAGTAAGAGATGTAATAGCAAAACAAGTAAATATATGTTTACAACTCATCCTGCAAAAGTGATTTTAAATAAATCCTAGCAATTAGGTTTTTCTAAGAAAATGTCATTAGAATATTTATTTCCTTTGAAAATTACATGTTCACCCTACTTGGTTTTGAAAAATAACATTTTGTCAGTTTAGAGTTGGGAGTCAGAAGGACGTGGATTCAAATACTGGCTTTGCTACCTCACAGCTTTGGTACAAACTTAGACAGCTTAATCTTGCTGGAGAGATACTGATTTCCTCAGTTGTAAAACAGACAAATCATTAAAGTCTACCTGTTGGAACTGAAGTAAGCATTAAAATAGATATCTCATGTAAAGTGCTTAGCACCAAAATAGGCAAATATATTCTATTAATATGTATTTTGATTGTAGAAATAAATTAAAAAATTGTGACAGATCAACAGATAACACTGTAATGTAAAAAAACAAGTTAATTCATAGGTTTCATTATGAGTAACCATTATGAAATTTAAAAACCACTTTTTTATACAAATACTCCTCTAAAATTTCTTCTTTAAAATTCATCCTCAATACTGGATCTAGGTTGCATTTTAGCAAATGTATCGCATTCTATTAATGAATAGAGATTTCTTCCTGGGATAAAATGATCAAGAATTACCAATTACCATGTACTCTGCAAATCAAATATCCTTCACAAAATACTAGGTGAGATGTTTTTAGGGAAATTTATTAATGCAGATTTGCAAATAACAAGACTTGCATTTCATGTCAAGCTAAAGCTGACTAGATTACTTCTTCTTCGTCTTATTTTTTTGAGGGCAGGGTGTCTCTCACCCAGGCTGGAGTGCAGTGGCTTGATCTCAGCTCACTGCAACCTATGCTTCCCGGGCTCAAGCAATTCTCCTGCCTTAGCCCCCAGAGTAGCTGAGATTACATGCCAACATGCCTGGCTAATTTTTGTATTTTTTGCAGAGACTGGGTTTTACCATGTTGCCCATGCTGGACTCAAACTCCTGGGCTCAAGTCATCCGTCTACCTCAGCCTCCCAAAGTGCTGGGGTTAGAGGTGTGAGTCGCTGAGCCTGGACAGATTACTTCTTTTACAATCAATATCTCTAGAGTTCTGTAATTGCCTAATATATAGTGTTTACCCAAATTTGTTAAATTTTAATATAAAATAGCTACAATAAAATAGGTTAATTTAACAAACTAAACATCTTAGTTTGTGCAGCAGCTTTTGTTTAGAGACCCTACATTCTCCAATAAACTAAGTCATCCCCAGGGGATCTTTCATCATTCTGTTCTTTGGAAGGGCAGGGTACATGTTTACTAAGCAAGGGGTAAACAGATGATGAGCTTTGGGCTATTTAGAAAACTGTGACAGACTCACTGTGCAAGTTGGTTCCTGTACCCACGGACGAACCCTTGGGAATGACAGGCATGAGGGCATGCTGGATGGCTATCTCCCACATCCTGGCCACATCTGCACCAACACCACTGGTGAGGACACTGTTATTTGGTGGTGGACTGGAAGGATTGACCACATTTTCTCCCACATAATATACTACATTTGCTGTGGTGATTTCAAAACAATGAGGATTGGCCCCATTAGGAATTAAAGCTGAAGTTTTTACTGGTTCCAGAGATAAAATTTCGGATAAAGGAATTTCCTGTGAAAGAAAGAAAGTGCTAAATGTAGTTTATCAAAAGTATGTCAACTTTCAAAGAAAATTCATGCCAGGAACATGAATAGCCATCATTTATATATAGTTTTATACTATAAAACACAGAATATTGCTAAGCAAAATTAAAAAATACATTTACTATGGGAAACCTTATCATTTCCTTTTTCTAGAAAATGTGATTTTTTTTTGCTATGTTCATGTAGCAAAAGTAAGTATGGTTAGAAATAATGATTTTGACTCTTCACCAAAATCGAACATTAAAAAACAAATAATAATTTTTATAGCAGTGAGGTAGAATCACAACACTTTTGAAATGTGTTTAGGTAGACAAGGCTATTTTTAAACTGTAACCTATTCTTTAAGGCACTGAAATGAATCATATAATTTGATTCAATACATGTTAATGTAATAATATAACTAAGTGAATAGTTTAAGTGAAGACAACTACAGGGATTGGTTTTAAAATAGTTTTTTTTTTTTGAGATGGAATCTTGTTCTGTCACCGAGGCTGAAGTGCAGTGGCCTAATCTTGGTTCACTGCAACCTCTGCCTCCCCAGTTTCAAGCAATTCTCCTGCCTCAGCCTCCCAAGTAGCTGGGATTACAGGTGCCCACCACCACACCCAGCTAAATTTTGTATTTTTAGCAGAGACAGGGTTTCACCATGTTGGGCAGGCTGGTCTCGAACTTCTGACTTTGTAATCTGCCCGCCTTGGCCTCCCAAAGTGCTGGGATTACAAGTGTGAGCCACCATGCCCGGCCAGTTTTGTTTTTCTTTTGAGACAGATTCTTGTTCTGTTGCCCAGGCTAGAGTGTAGTGGTACAATTTAGGCTCACTACAAACTCTGCCTCCTGGGTTCAGGTGATTCTCCTGCCTCAGCCTCCTGAGTAGCTGAGATTATAGGTGCATGCCATCATGCCCGGCTAATTTTTGTAGTTTTGTTGAGACGAGGTTTCACCATGTGGGCCAGGGTGGTCTCTAATTCCTGACCTCAAGCGATCTGCCTGCCTTGGCCTCCCAACGTGCTGGGATTACAGGTGTGAGCCACTGCACCAGCCAATACTTATCATTTTTAAGGCAATTAATATTAAAAAAAATTAATCACTACCTTGTCTTCCAGGAAATGTGGAGTGACTAAAAAATAATAACTTTTAAAACAAAATGTTTAATTTTAAAATTAGTGAGGTTTCCATTTTCTGTGACAGCTGTGTAACGTGGACATGGAGAATCAAATCAACTATTCCAAAGCCTACATTCATTTTGAAGGAACAAGTATCTACTGTCTTCTCTATGAAGTATTTTTTTGAGTTGTGTTTTACTGGGTGATATACTATGCCACATCTGTGTTACTTAATGGAGAGGGACAGAATAAAAATTGCTGCCATTTTTTTCTCTAGAGGAAAGTGCTTGTTTTTGATATTAACAAACATGGATAAATTATACAATGCTTCTTCACCCCTAGCAGTATGCTAGGTGTAGTGATATCAGGAGTTTACTTTGAGCTGATCTGCTGTGACCATTAATTTTCTAGTTAAATCACACATTTCTGCAAAATATTCAATCTTCTCCTCTTTCCCTCTCCCTGTCAGCTCATGGTAGCAGAAGCACTCCCTGAAATGTAAAATTCACAGCTGAATCAAGAGGTCACAACCTGAATCCCAAGAAATTTGTAGACTATAGAGAAGGAAAACAATAGTTCCTGGAGGAAGCACAACAAAGTAATGTTTGTTGAATGTATTTCATATTTCTTATACTCTACATTCCCATGAGAAAGCAATAAGAAGTATAAAACTACAAAGAAAGTGACCCCCTTTACCTTGTAGTACCTGCTTCCTGTGTCATTTTGAAAGAGGGTAATACATTTGCTATCCAACCTCCAGTAGTGCCGTTTCCGCTGAAACAGATGTTAGATTCAAGATCTTTAAAAAAAAAAACTTAAAAAATATCCACGGTTGATCAAATAAATAGATTTCGCCAATGGAGACATAAGATTTGAGGGTGGAAAGTGTATGGGCTTTGGAAAAGGCAGACTCACGCTCAATTTCAGGCTCTAGAAGTTGACTATCACGTCTGATACATATCTGCATTTATGTTAGAGGGCCATGAGTTATATAGAATAGTATTAGCACCCAGTAAGAGCCTGGAACTCACAAAGTACACAGTAACAGAAAACACTAAATGTATTAAAATTTTAAGCTTCCTTGACTGCTTAAAGGGCAATGGTGGATGTATAGTCCATAATAAATTAAGGTTTACTAGGAGATGCATGTTTATTATACATGGTCATTATTTTAGGACGTTTAAGAAACGCCATGCTAATGTTGCCAGGTATTCTCTCTTCCATTGGCAATGGGGAAATTCTGAATGTTAGAGTAGAAGAAAAGAATATTTTGTTGGATAGTAATTTTGACTCCATGACATCAACTTAAAGTCAGGGGAATGCATCAGACAACCAACTCTACCTTCTCTCCAGCTCCCCACAGATCTGACCACTACGATTTGGTGATCAGGTTCTTCTTCATTGTAGGTATATCTTTCAGGATTTTAGGATGTGTGTGTATTTTATCTTATAATAGACTGAAAAGCTCTATTGTTATTCTAGTCCATAACAGATTTTAGAGCAGTGAAATATATTAAATATATTATGCCATGTCTAAAAAAACCAGGTGGTAGTCAATAGAGCCCTATAATACCATGTAAGTCTTCTCTCTCTAACAGAGATGGTCAAAATTATAGTTAGATCAATTAGGTACAGATGTCTATTCATCTAGTGATTCTATAGGTAAGAGATGAGAAAGCAGTAACAGAAATCAGCCAATGTCAATTTAACTTTGAAATGTGAATCAAGTTGTTCTCTCTTACATACATACATCACAACATAATTCATCAACTATTAGGAAAATCTGGAGATGTGAACACTCAGGGTGCAGGCTTACAATGTTCCTGAATGGGCCAGTTCTTCAGTGAAAACTTAATTAAGGATTTAGGACCCTTATTCCATGACCACATCAGACTCTGCCCCAAGGCTAAGCAAATCTAGAAAACTTTTATCATAACTATCGTATGATAGTTATCACTGTTTTATTCTCTGCCTAGTAGGCAGTGTTCCTTTTAAAATTCTAAATCACAGTGGAGCATTCTGAAAGCACATACTGTGGCTTCCACAAATGCTATAAAATGACAGGTAGACATTTCAGATAATCAACGTCAATGAATTTGTTTGCCTTAAATTGCTTTCCACATTTTTTCCTAACTTCATTGCTTGCTCAACTACATCTGACACCTAGCGACTGTAATGCACCCTACCTAATCCTGTGCCATGCCTATGCTGAGGTTTACTCTGAGTAATGCAGGTATCTCACAGTCCTCACAGGGCATTGGCAACTCCTCTAATTAAAGCTAGCAAGGCAAGAGAACATTGTTTCCTCCTCTAATTAGAGCTAGCAAGGCAAGAGAACATTGTTCCCTGAGGATCTTACCAATGTGTCCTTGCTGGTGTAGTGGACCATCCATCCTTCTTTCATGACTGTGCTGCTTTTCCTCTTCGTGTGTTTGACAGATTGCACTACCCTCATGAGTGGGATGTTGTTGCTTGTTGATGGACTTGAGAAGTCAAAATAGTGTAAGAGAAAAAATATTTTCAGGTACATTTTATGTATTTTCATGCATAAAATCTTACGTCAGCTAATCCAAAGTGAAACTTTACAAAAATTCACACTTCATTATTAGTACAACGTATTGTCAGGCACTATGGTTCTGAAAGTGGGTTACTCTGAAGAGTGATAGGCACTTTATTTATACACCTCAAAAAATCCAAAAGCTGGGTAATAAGCACCTCATTTTTCTGAGGTCACACTATTCAGAATCACACATAAAAGCTTACGTGCTCATTTATTTCATATTATAGGTACATTATCAATCACTTATAGATTACATTATTCAATATGAACTTTAGTTTCTCTGTATAATGTCATAAAAATTGGAATCTGCTAGTCTCTGTTTCTTCCTCTTCATCCCTCCCTCCCCACCTCCCTCCCCACAGCATGAATGAATATATATATATATATTTATATGTAAGTTCCCCTGCTTCTCTCACCATGCAAACTCTTTGGTACTAAAGAAATATATGTCTTCAAAAGACAGGTCATAAGACAATTATTTCCCACTACTTTAAAAATGTTTATTATGCCATTAAATGGAAAACAAACCAATCATTTTATTGCTCTACTCTCATGAACAATTTCTGTTTGTCAATAAACATGGCATTTGTAAAATGGACACAGCAGTTTCAATATGCTTTATAATATAAATCAGAGACTGGGAAACATCTTCTGTAAAGGGCCAAGTAATAAATATTTTAATTTTTGCAAAATACCTAACTTTACCAATATAATGCAAAAGCAGCCAGAGACAATATGAATGGGTTTAGCTATGTTCCAGTAAAACTTTACTACAAATTGGGCAGCAGTCCAATATATGTCTTGGTGGCCATATTGTGCCGACTCCTGATATAAAAAGTGGGGATCATCCAGTAACTAAAAGCATAGATAATTAGATAACAGAAATAAAATTGCACATACTTCTGAAATAATATCAAGAACATGAAGTATATACAAACTATGATATTTGTAACAGGGGCCAGCTAATAAAATAAATGGTGTCTGATAAGTTGGATCCTTGATCTTTGTTGTTTCTACACAATGAGCCTCGAATTAAATACTAATTTAGTAATAAACTTGTGAATGGCAAACATGAGTATCTCTCACATGCAGAAGAAAATGGGTCAGTGAATGAGGAGATGCTAGGAAAGGATGGAAACCACACTTCTCCCAGGGAACCCATACCTCCTAACTTCAAAGGCTCTCATCTACAGCACATATGTCATTCATAAGAAAATAAACATGCACTTCATATTTCTACTATAATTGATATAAATATCAAAGAAGTTAAAAGAGAAAATACCACTTGTGGTCCCCCTGTTGGCTGAGGCTGGGAGTGCTGCTCTCACCTGATGGTTCTGTTGGCATCCTCGTGGTCTGGGTCTGGGTCTTGCATCTCCCCACTGTCGTTCTGGCACTCTGCCATTAACATCTCTGCATCTTGGACCATTGCTTCTTCCATGTCATCCATGAGTCCACTGTTCCTTTCGCTATCATTGTCATCACTCCCTTCTTCCATGACCACATCAGACTCTGCCCCAGGACTAAGCAAATCTAGAAAATTATTTTGACCCATAAAGATAAGCCTGGAATCTTGGAGCCAGGGCTTAAGAGACAGTCAGGTGATCCTAAAACAAATCATTTGGAAGCCCCAAAATGGTAGTTCTGTGAAGTTTCTTTTCTTGTTTGTTTGTTTTTTTTAACTTTTATTTTAAGTTCAGGGGTACATGTGCAGGTTTATTACACAGGTAAACTTGAGTCATGGGGGTTTGTTGTACAGATTATTTCATCACCCAGGTATTAAGCCTGGTACCCATTAGTTATTTTTTCTGATCCTCCCTCCTCCCACCCTCCAACCTCAAAAGGTCCCAGTGTGTGTTGTTCCCCACTATGTGTCCATGTGTTCTCATAATTTAGCTCCCGCTTATAAGTGAGAACATCTGGTATTTGGTTTTCTGTTCCTGCATTTGCTAAAGATAATGGCCTCCAGATCCATCCATGATTTTTAATTTCCTTTTTTATTTCAGTTTATATGTGTCTGAATTTAGGAGAGATTGAATATGTAATGTTATAGGTAGGTGCTTGTTTTCTGTGTTCCTAAGCCTGAAATCATGAAAAGTCATGAAAAGCCTTGGAAGGAAGCCCAGGCTGGGATAGAAGCAAAATGCTAGAAGGCAAAGTGATACAAGGCCCAAGTGCCTGGGAAGCTGATCATATTTTAGAAACACAGCTCTGGTGGGAAAAAAAGTATATAAGAGGATGACAGAAACTTTCACACGAAAAAAGATTCAAGCCACTGATTCTTACTATTGAAGTAAATTTTTAAATCATGAAATCCAATATATTAAGTTGGTCACAAGCTACAGCTTGTAAATACTAAGACATTTGATATCTGAAGTAATATTGAACACTGTCATTATATAGTTGATGGCAATGCTAAAAATTATAATTACTAACTAATGCAAAGTACCCATTTTAAAATTAAAATGTAGATTAATGAGAAACCCTAGCATGCCAAGCTTGGAAAATTCACATTTTACCAGATTTTTCTGAATGTATGAGAAAATACTATTTCCAAGTAATCAACAACATCAAAAACTGTTCTGTTTCCCTTAGTTATAGTTATCAAGTACACACTGACGTTCCCTAAGCCTGAACAAAGTCAACACCACATGCCACAGAAAGTGGAAAGATCGCCAAGCTTTCAATTTTGGCAGCTAATTCATGAATCTCCAAGCCAGAAACAAGTGTGAGAATGTTTTCCTGGAGAATTCTTTCTTCTTCTTCTTTTAGGTACAGCATACATTTCTTCTAGAGAAGAAAGTTCTAGAGCAAAAATATTCATCCTTCAGCTTTTCAGCAACAAAAATACTCAACTTCTTTTTGTGGTCTTTTATAGCCATTTTTCTTTCCAGAGGAATTGGGAAACTGGTATCAGACTAAAGGTATACAGAAGACCACTATCCACAGAGAAAACTAACCTGAGATTCTAAGTCAAATATTTTGGTAGTGCTTGAAATAAAAAGGGCAGAGGAAAAGAGACTGAGAGCTATAACTTGTAGGCATTCCAACAACATCCACATTTCTGGACAAACTAGGTTAAGAGTATAAGATAAGAAAGCTGGGAAATAAATTATGGCTACCCAAGTTTTCAATACTAGCTGTTCACCATGTAAAGATCATGAAAGGCTCTTTGATGGTTATCAAAACTCCATGGATGCTTTTCTATAGTAAAGAAGAACAAACATGAGCCAAAATTTACTTTAGACTGTGTCTGAAATATCTGAAGCAAAACCAAAAAAAAAAAAAAAAACCCTGACTAAAATCATCACCCCCACACTCTCTAATAGGGAAGAAGCACAGACATGACAGCTGATCTTTCACCTACCTCCATTAATGGTCACTTCACCAAGGCAGTTGTTTGGTACTTTTGGTGCACAACGTTTATGGCAGTTGAATCTGCAATCTAATCCCAATGATTTCAAATGAAACAAAATGAGACTTTGTCAGAAAGAGAAGTAGTAACCAGAAAATAGTTATGTCAAATGAAGACAATCAAAGTTCGACTAGTGACAAAATCTTTCTTACCTTTGCACTGCAAGCCCTGCCTGAAAAGCCCCTTCAGAAGCTTCTTGCAGTACTGGCACACCGTGGGCCGGGTGTAGGAGTGGATGACGAATGTGTGTGGCACTTTAACTTTAGACATCAAAATCTTGTCAAGTTGAATTGGTCGTCCAATGTATGATTGAGAATTTGACCTCTTCTCTCGACCAATATATGACTCCGATGGTGACTTCTGCTACATTTTGAAAAACAGTAAAAGAAGTCAGATGTAAGAGGCTATTTGATTTATATATCTATACATTTTAAGATCTGGGTTTACTCTTGTATTTAGTACTTTGATCCTTAATAATACGAAAGAAATAATACTATACTTCAGTTAATTAATACAATTTACTTCCTTTCCCCATTTCTATTTGAGTTAACGTGCTTATATAACAACAACAACAAAAGAATTGGAGATCAGAATATTTAAACATGATTTCTAGGTTTCAAATATGTTTTTGCTTTAAAAAGGTCATTTTAACACAGAAATATAAAGTTGGAGACAAATAAACACTGACATATTATATTGTTGACATTTTCTACAGAATTACATGCACATAGTAAATACAAGCATTGAAGAAAGACAGAAAATAAAAAGTAAATGCCTTCTGTTTGCCCTAAATGGTATTTCATTGAAAAAAATGCTGTATCCCAGCACTTTTGGAGGTTGAGAAGGGCAGATCATTTGAGGTCAGGAGTTCAAAACCAGCCTGGCTAACATGAGGAAACACCATCTCTACTAAAAATACAAAAATTAACTGGGTGTGGTGGCGCATGCCTGTAATCCCAGCTACTCAGGAGGCTGAGGCAGGAGAATTGCTTGAACTAGGGAGATGGAGCTTGTGGTGAGCCAAGATTGCACTACTGCATTCCAGCCTGGGCGACGAGAGTGAAACTCCGTCTCAAACAAACAAACAAAAAATGCTTACAGCTTCTTTAGATTCCCTAAAGAAAAAAAATAAATATAATTTAAAATTTTTCCTCAACCATATGAACAATAAATATTTTTATTACTGAAAACAGAACTAATATACTATACGAGGCATACAAAAATGGATGTTTGGATATAATTATATCTCTGTGCACTTTTGTCCATCATTTTGGAATTAATCAGCCCAGCATATAGATTCTTAAAAATTAAATTGACTAAAATTAACTGTGTTTTCAATGTTTTTGGATAATTTCATGATAACTCATATCCTGGGATATATTTGAGAATTATCAAAATTATGTATTTTAGAATCATCAGAATAAGATCAACCAAATTACTTTTGAATTGTTGTTATAATTATATATCTCATTTACATATCTCAGTTACTAAGCTCCTCCTCTACAGCAATAACCGTGTTAGGTGCCTTAAAACATAGGCCTTATTATCTACAGTTGAAGCATCTAAGCTCATAAAGTTTAAATACATACCTTTGGGTCAAATGCTAGTAAATAGTGGAAGCAAAATGCAAACCTACATTTGTTTGCCTCCAGAGCCCTTGTTTTTTCATCATCCTCAGTTAATTTCTAATTTGAAATAATTACTGATAAGGCAAGCAATAAATCATATTTACATACAATTTCCATCCCTTTCAATCCCTATCTGCATCAAAAGGTTAAATGCTATTGCCAAAAGTGAAAAGTACGATTTGCAGATTTACTAGCTACAGTAAAAAGAAACTTAAAATGAATTTCTACACAGGAATATTAGGCCTACAGTTATATTAACAATCACAATTCCATAAAGAAAAACTGTAAAGCATAATTATCCTGGAAAGGTTCAACTCTTGCAGAGAAGTCTAAGGAGACTATAAAAGTAGCCAAAGGCTTGCCAAACCAGAATCATGAAAATATTGAAAAAATGCCTTCAATGGATTTAAATAATAATTAAATCAACAGGGTAAGGTCCCTGTTCCAGTGTCCTTTAGTAAGTGTAGCCAATGGGCCAGTTTTAAGCATAGACAAAAATGAAAGCGGTATTTTTCCATAGTTGGAAAGTTTTAACACTCAGAATAAAAGGTAACCTAATGTCACACTGTCTTAGCAGACTTAAAATGTTCTCAGATTTTGAAAATCCTATGAAAAGCTGGCCAAATCACTGTCAGTCATTTTCCTTAATGTAAGATAACTAACTCTAAGCTGTGCTAACAGAGCCAGTTTGACATTTATCATACCATAGTGCAAATTCATTAGAAAAGCAAGAGGGAAGCTAGTAAACTGAATGTTTTCTTTTCATCCAACATAAACACTACCATAAACTACAAGAAATAGAATTACTTTTGAGAGGTAATTTCACTTATTACCTTCAAGGCAAGATTACATAAGAAATTTAAAAATCTTCCATGTTTAGGCAAAAGAAATTGGCTGTCACTCTGTAGCCCAGAGACCATGCTATGCACAAATTCAAGCAATAATGAGATTTACACAGCCAGCCACATATGCCCTTGGCACAAAATATGTAAGTTATGGTGTAAACTATGTAATTGCAGTGTCAGAAATTGATTTTAATAACATTAATAAAGACGGCCCTCATACCATTCATGCCATTTTAAATTTTAAAATCAGATAGCAATCCAACCAGACTTATCATTACCTTTTTTATAGTCCCAAATATAAGTAATCATTTTCAATATGGCCCATATTTCTAAATGAAAAAGCACAGCTTTACAATCTTGAGCCAGGGTGCAGGCATGGTAACTTACCTTGCAGAAATTGATTTACCACTGGAAGGAGATTGCTTGAGTTGTTTAATTTTACTAGATAACAAACACCTTGGGAAAGGAAGAGGGGAGAAGCTGTCTGAAGTCCCGTTTTCAGTATTTAATTCTATGTTTCTCAGCGTGTACATGCACACATTTGTGTGTGCTTTCCCTTTCATGAGGCAAATTTAAAAAGCAAAAACAAAAAAGACTGGGTCATTATCTGATGATTACCTAAGCACTTATAGGTATTTTAGCCTTCCTTCAATAAAAATGTAAAACTAGTACTTTGTTGATATATAACGAATTATACATAATATAGAATATATATATTATCTAGACTATATTATATAGAATATATATATTATAGAATAAGGATTATATAATATATTGTATAATATATTCTATATATATAATATATATTCTAGAATATAATCCTTATTCTATAATATATATATTCTATATAATATAGTCTAGATAATATATATATTCTAGAATATATATATATAAAACAAATGGCTATGAAAAAAGGCCATTTTCCTGTAATATATATCATTATTTACCTAAATGTTTAAGACCGACCATTTCTGTAAACCTGCCATAATTCCTTTAAACAAATTCTTAATGATGTTATCACAAAATCACAAACTAAGACCAAAAGATTTTCAGAATCAGTGACACATTTTTCATTAATAATTATCAGTTATTTTAAACAAAAATATAAAATTTCAATTATGTGAAGTTTTATGTGAAGGCATGTACACCATAAAGCATAATTACAGTGTGTTTTTGTTTGATATATCAAGCTACTGAGCAGGCCAAAATCCAGAAATTAATAGTTTTCAAGGATATTATAATTTTAAAAAAATCTCACTGATCTTTGGACTTTATGATACTTTCCACAGGAAATTAGATAATAATTCAAATCATAATGCAGACAGAAATAATTGGAAATGTTTGCATGAAATACATTATTATACAAAGTAAAGAGATGTCATTATACATCAAGTTTATATGTTATAGAAACTTTATTATACATAAATAAAACTCAAATTCTTCATTAACTTACTTCATTTTCTTGGCTTACTTGTATATTTAGCTACAATGTGCACATTGTAGCTAAATATACAAGGATGCACAGTACTTTAGAGTTTTAAATAACACTGCTCTTTAAAGTTAAATATAATAAAGAGAAAATTCTTACCCATCAACACTATTGAAGAGTTTTAAAAATTATTATTATACTTTAAGTTCTGGGATACATGTGCAAATTGTGCAGAACTGTTATATAGGTATACACATGCCATGTTGGTTCGCTGCATCCATCCCCCCATCATCTACATTAGGTATTTCATTTAATGTTATCCTTCCCCAAACTCCCCACCCGCTGCTCTTCCTCCTCTAGCCCTTCCACCCCCGCAACAGGCCCCAATGTGTGATGCTCCCCTCCTTGCGTCCATGTGTTCTCACTATTCAACACCCACTTATGAGTGAGAACATGTTGTGTTTGGTTTCTTGCATTTGTGCCAGTCTGCTAAGAATGACGGTTTCCAGCTTCATCCATGTCCCTGCAAAGGATATGAACTCATCCTTTTTTATGGCTGCATAGAATTCCATGGGGAATATGTGCCACATTTTCTTTATCCAGTCTATTATTGATGGGCATTTGGGTTGGTTTCCAAGTCTTTGCTATTGTAAACAGTGCTGCAATGAACATACATGTGCATGTGTCTTTATAATAGAATGATTTATAATCCTTTGGGTATATGCCCAGTAATGAGATTGCTGGGTCAAATGGTATTTCTAGTTCTAAATCCTTGAGGAATCACCACACTGTCTTCCACAATGGTTGAACTAATTTACACTCTCGACAGTATAAAAGTGTTCCTATTTCTCCACATCCTCTCCAGCATCTGTTGTCTCCAGGTTTTTTAATGATCACCATTCTAACTGGCATGAGATGGTATTTCAATGTGGTTTTGATTTGGCAGTTCTCTAGTGACCAGTGATGATGAGGTTTTTTTCCATGTTTGTTAGCTGCATAAATGTCTTATTTTGAGAAGGGTCTTTTCATATCCTCCGCCTACTTTCTGATGAGGTTGTTTGTTTTCTTCTTGTACATTTGTTTAAGTTGTTTGTAGATTCTGAATATTAGTCCTTTGTCAGATGGGTAGATTGCAAAAATTTTCCCATTATGTTGGGTGCCTGTTCATTCTAATGATAGTTTCCTTTGCGGTGCAAAAACTCTTAAGTTTAATTAGATCCTATTTGTCTATTTTGGCTTTTGTTGCCATTGCTTTTGGTGTTTTAGTCATGAAGTCCTTGCCTATGCCCCGAATGGTATTGCCTAAGTTTTCTTCTAGGGTTTTTATGGTGTTAGGTCTTTTGTTTAAATCTTTAATCCAACTGGAGTTAATTTTTGTATATAGTGTAAGGAAGGGGTCCAGTCTCAGTTTTCTGCATATGGCTAGCCATTTTTTCCAACACCATTTATTAAATAGGGAAT